ATATAAACAAGCCCAAAAAGATGAGATTGGTGTTTGATGCAGCGGCTACGATCAACGGTATTTCCCTAAATACCCTTCATTGACGACGATTCTCTTCAAATTCAGACAAGAAATTTTCTTGCAAGTGAAAGTTCGTAAAGAAGATCAGGATTCTTTGAGATTTCTTTGGAGACATGGTAATCACATTGCTCAGGTTGATACATACAAGATGGCAGTCATTATATTTGGAGCAGCATGTTCGCCTTCATGTGCTCAATATATAAAAAATATAAACGCAAAAAACGCCGATATGTATATTCAGGGATGCAGTAATTGATTCTATCCAAACAAGGCATTACGTAGATACATAACTTTCTAGCTAGTTTTGAGTCTGAAGAAGACGCCCTTGAAATCAGCCAGGAAGTCAAGAGGGTCCATAAGGTGGGAAAGTTTGAGTACAGAGGATTTGTTTCTAACTAAAAACGAAGTCAGCAGTTGATAAAAACGATTTGTTAACACCGACTGTCCAACTGAACAGCGAATCAACAAACAAGATCTTGGGAACGTGTTGGGAACGAATTTATTCCACACAATTTGTTTTGCAAATTTAGGGTTTGGGTACTTGAATTGGAAAAATCAAAAAAAATTCAATTGAAAATAGAATTTTTGTCAGCTAAGGATAGTAAAGAGCACATTTTCGTGGATGCAAACGAACAGGCCTTCGCATATCTTATGGCGGAGATATAAAATTAGTTTTTATTGCTGGTAAATCCAGATGGGCGCCGTTGAAATATATTGCAATATGGCAAGAATCGTAAAGCTAAACCAATCACTCCTTTGCGTGAACAACATCATCTGACGACTATATTATCGAAGCTGGAGTCCAGCAAAGAAGCGCTCTTGAGCCTACTCTGTTCGTCATATATACATCGGATATTCCTACGAACGAGCAGCTTAAGTCGCTCGCACATAACGATTACTCTCAATAGGCAAACATGCCCTTAACTATCATTATATAGTACGTCGATTCCCCAAGTCAACGAAGTAACGAATCTCGGTGACCTCGACAGACGACAAACCTGTAGAAGACACATGAAATGCTAGAAACTACATCTAAAACTAAAAGCCAGCAGCTTTCACTGGATTTTCAACGCTCGATCGCCCCTGCGACTGGACTACAGGGTCCTGCTCTACAACTCCACTCTCAATCCTATCTGAGGGAACGCGAGCAGCAGCAACATTGACATCATTCAACGCGCACAATCGAAAATCCTGGGGACTATCACTGGGGCACCATGGTGTATTCCCAACCAAAACATCCATAATCATATCACTGTTAGTTAGATTACTATAAGATTTTATACACTTATTGTTAGTATCCGAAAGAATATTTATTATATAAAAAGCAAAGCATATACAAACAAAACAATTTTTATACCCGTTACTCGTAGAGTAAAAGGGTATATTGTATTCGTGCAAAAGTATGTAACAGCTAGAAGGAAGCGTTTCCGACCCTGTAAAGTATATATATTCTTGATCAGGGTCACTAGCCGAGTCGATCTAGCCATGTCCGTCTGTCTGTCTGTCCGTATGAACGCTGAGATCTCGGAAACTATAAAAGCTAGAATATTGGCATTTTGCATGCAGATTCTAGAAGTTCCTACGCAGCGCAAGTTTGTTTCAAAAAGGTTCCACGCCCCCTTTAACGCCCACAATCGCTTATATACGATTTTAAAAATTTAAATATTTCGGAAAAGTAAAAATGCAGTTTTATTGTGTTTATCAATACCTATCGAAATGTTGAAGAAATTTTTCAAATCGGACCATTCGTTAAAAAGTTATGCGTGATCAAAGTTTCTATCTCCATCTCCCTCGCACTCCCTCTACCTGAGTAACGGGTATCTGATAGTCGGGGCACCCGACTATAGCGTTCTCTCTTGTTAAAAAATAAAAACAGTAAGATTATACTTTCTTAAATTTTGTTTCCGATTTTTCCTAGGGAGCTATATGATATTGTCACCCTATCCGGCTCGTTCCGACTTATATACTACCTGCAATAGAATCCAACTTTTGGTAAAGTTTCATCCAGATAGCTTTAAAACTGAGGGACTAGTTTGCGTAGAAAAACTCTCTGTGAACCCAAATCATCTCGCAAGAAGTTTGACTCGGTTTTCCTACAACGCAACGACCTTCTACGCAGCTGAAATTCTCAGGGCACCATAACTCAGTACCAGTCATATGACTGTAAGTTAAATTATTATACCCTTGCAGAGGGTATTATAATTTTGGTCAGAAGTTTGTAACGCAGTGAATGAGACATTTCCAACCCTATAAAGTATATATATTCTTGATCAGGATCAGTAGGGGAGTCGATATTGCCATATCCGTCCCTCGGTCCGTCTGTTTCAATACCGTTTGCGAGCTCAGTTTAAAAGCTAGCGATCTGAAACTTTCACAATTATCCTAAAACATGTGTACGCAGATCAAGTTTAAAAACCGCACCGATCGGATGTCTATATCCTATAGCTCCCATAGGAACAATCGGATATAACTTGCAGGAATGGAAGATATTTCGCGCATATATATCCTATAGCTCCCATAGGAACAATAGGGTGAAATCGGTTAAAATTTAATGACTTTTTGGATATTTCGCAAAATATGACAAAAAAACTGTTAACGACAATCATCACAAACAGAGTTTATACAAGAAAGGAGTTTAAAGACTAAAACGGAGAAAAGTTCGACACCTGTTGGTATCGGTTTTTTCAGAGTTACTCATTAGTTTGATAGACGTCGATGAGTGAATAAAACATTATATTACCAAATATACGGGTGCAAAAAACGAAAATTTCTTAAAGCCTAGTATCCAGATCGACAAACGATTACGCTAGCGTAAAAACTTTAATCTTTCCAGTGTGACCAAAAGTTTGAGAGTTCATCAGATTTAAGCGTGCTACGGTCGTACTGTCAATCAGCTGGGTTTGTTGACAAGCAGTTAAAATTCAAATATCGTATTTGCGGGAAAGAGCCTTTAAAAGATATTATCAAATACCTTTGCAAGACACGTCTGCCGGTGTACAAAGAAATTAAAAAACAATACAATTTAAATTTAACAGTTGTTTTTTTTAATTTACTTATAATTATTTGCTAATTTAAAGTTCATAGCTGCACTTTTATTGTGTTTTTTCGTACATTCTGGACCTAAAAAACATTTTGCTCTGACAAGAGGCACCACAGATAGTATTAATGTTATTTTGTCCTCACATGTAAACACCTGCAATCGACTTTTGTGAGTTTTTTGAGTTTTTCCCTCCATTTCTTATAATGTTCAGTGAGAAGCGCACGCCAAAAGATTAATTTTTTTAATCTTTTCGCTAGGGTTCACCCAAAACTCATTTCCGCAGACTGGCAACGCTATGGAAATTTCTAGTATTTTTTTCGTTCGTCAGGAGACCGACGTGAAAAAAAGGCCCGACGAAAAGTCGACGCCAGCTTTTTGCCTCTCGTTCTCTCTCATGACTGACGTACGGTTTTCGTCGATCAGGATACTAGGCTTTAAGCAAGAAAGGAAAGCTAACTTCGGGCGGAGCCGAAGTTGATATACCCTTGCAGAATACTCTGTAAATTATATTCTCCAAAATTATTCATATGATGCATTCTTAATACTCATAAAAATCCCAACATCCTAACTTTAACAAGAGAGAACGCTATAGTCGGGTGCCCCGACTATCAGATACCCGTTACTCAAGTAAAGGGAGTGCGAGGGAGATGGAGATAGAAACTTTGATCACGCATAACTTTTTAACGAATGGTCCGATTTGAAAAATTTCTTCTACATTTCGATAGGTATCGATAAACACAATAAAACTGCATTTTTACTTTTCCGAAATATTTAAATTTTTAAAATCGTATGTAAGCGATTGTGGGCGTTAAAGGGGGCGTGGCACCTTTTTGAAACAAACTTGCGCTGCGTAGGAACTCCTAGAATCTGCATGCAAAATGCCAATCTTCTAGCTTTTATAGTTTCCGAGATCTCAGCGTTCATACGGACAGACAGACAGACAGACGGACATGGCTATATCGACTCGGCTAGTGACCCTGATCAAGAATATATATACTTTATAGGGTCGGAAACGCTTCCTTCTAGCTGTTACATACTTTTGCACGAATACAATATACCCTTTTACTCTACGAGTAACGGGTATAAAAATATAGTCGGCCGATCCTTATAATTTATTATTTCGATAAGTCCGATAATTTGGTAGGTCGGATTGATTGGCCAAATATAAAACCCATAGGAAATCCCAGCTTCCTAACTTAATAAACACCAAAGTTATGGCATTTTCGATCAATCAGTTATATGGCAGTTATAGGAAATAGTCGGCCGATTCTTATGAAATTTGGTAGGTCGGATTGATTGGCCAAATATAAAACCTATAGGAAATCCCAGCTTCCTAACTTTACAAACACCAAAGTTATGGCATTTCCGATCAATCAGTTATATGGCAGCTACAGGATATAGTCGTTCCGACATATATATTGCGTGCAAAGGAAAGAAGGGTGTGTGCAAAGTTTCAATTCGATATCTTTAAAACTGAGAGACTAGATTGCGTAGAAACAGACAGACGGACATCGCTATATCAACTCAGGAGGTGATCCTGATCAAGAATATATATACTTTATAGGGTCGGAGATGTCTCCTTCACTGCGTTGCACACTTTGACCAAAATTATAATACGCTCTGCAAAGGTATAAAAATTGCGTAAATTTAACCCAACAGTTCCTATGACAGCTATAAGGTATTGACGTTCGATCAGGTGCGTTTTCCAACTTAATATGCATAAAAATGCAAAATATTGAATATTTCAAGTATATAGCGATATTATAACAATAATATATTAACTCGCCTAGTCATGCTGATGAAAATATATATACTTTAGAGGAAAATGTGTCCTGGACTAAGGTACAAACATCTGACTAAAACTATAATACTTTTTGCAAGGGTATAAAAAATGGAGAAGTATCTTGTATCAGGGCTTTTATTTATATGAAATAAAGAATGTTCGCAACATTAAACAAAATTTCCTAACATTTTAGTAAGCTTTACTCAATTAACGGGTATACGCTTTTTGTAATTAAAATGCATAATTTTTAATTTTAATTTGTGAGATCTCTTCTGTTCATGTGCGATTTCATGCCAGTACTAGAGCAATGCAAATCAGTGCCAAGACGTATTTCGTTTATCACTTGTATGGCAGTGCGTTGTCAATTAATCAGATAACAACATGAAGTACTGCTTCTAATCTTTTACATGGGGTATTGCATATTGTCAAAAATTGGCTATATATCATTTGACTGTACTTTTAACTTGTTTGAAAGAAGCGACAAATTTGAGTTCCCAATAATGTCGTTTGATTTTTCCATTGCGTACGTGCTAGTTAGATTAACCAAGGTTTCTTGTGCAATCTCTATGGCCGTTGAACCTGAATCAAACGCATAGCTAGTGTCTGTTGTTGGTACATTTGGAGTGGTTGAGGCCGCATACTCTCCCAAAACATCGAAGTTTGTGACTTGTTCCAACTGCGTCAATGAGTTAGCCGAGCTGTTTAACGAGCCGGAGAATTTGAATAGTCCTGAAATAATATTTTATGTATAGCAATGGTTAATAAAGGTTGCAATATATTAATATTTAAATAACAGTCTAAACCTACGGTTATTTTCGTTATTATTCATATGCGGTAAATATGAAAGTGATGACGGATAATATTTTGAGGCTCCAACGTCCACTTCGCTAAGACTACTTATTCCGCCGGAGTCAGCAGAATGCGTTGTCGGTAATCGTGGCGATGTAACTGTGGTTTTGCTGAAGCTTTCTACTAAAAGCTCAGTATTCATCAAAGGTGCTTTTGTTCCGCTTAATGTTCCGTCCGCAATATTGTGGCATTTAGTAAGTTTAAAGTCCATTTCCTTAACACCTCCATGTTTAAGACGTAGACTGGAATGGCTGTTATCCCGCTGTATTGTTAAAGAGATAGATGTAGCAGATGTTGATGACGACGTTACTTCTGTCGCCAAGCTCTTATTTTGACCTAAAATCAAACAAACATTAAAACAAATATTAAAACTGTATGTCTACTTTACCTATTACTGGTGATTGGTTCCCACTAACACCACTCACCCCACCACAGCCACTTGAGCTACTTGGCGGCCTAGGTAAGCGCCGTCGTAGCCATGGATGCTTTAAAGCATCGGATGGTGTTAATCGTTTATCTGCATCCCATTCCAAGCATCCACGTATGAAATTCAGAAAGAGAGGATCTTTGCATCCATCTAGCGCTTTGGAAAGACTCTTCGAGCATGGTGGCCCACGTGGTTTACCTCGACGTGATTGTCCACCAATTAGGACCACCATTCCATCAGTCATAGTTCGAACAGTGCAATACCGTGGATATCCCTTTGGGCTGAAAAACGATTTTGACCTCTTCGAGCTGGCTAATATATTTTTATTTGGCATGCCCAGGACTTCAATAATGCAAGCCAACTGGTCGCTTTCATTTTCGCCAGGGAACAATGCGTGTCCAGATAGCAACTCTGCTAAAATACAACCCAAAGACCACATGTCGATGGCTCTTCCATATTTCGCCCCCAAAATTACCTCAGGAGCGCGATAAAAGCGCGACTGTATATATGTGTATATTCGCTGATTCTCAAAGCAAGACGACCCGAAGTCAATAACCTTTAATATTTAAAAACAGATAGAAACACAATTTATACTTTTTAATATTAATGTGATTGATTTGTTTAATAATATAAAATTTTTGTTAATTATATAATGAAGAAGCTGAATCTTCGTAGTTGCTAGCAAACTTTTTTGGCAGACAACTATTTTTATACCCCTGCAGAGGGTATTATAATTTCAGTCAAAAGTTTTTAACGCAGTGAAGGAGAAATTTCCGACCCTATAAAGTATATATATTCTTGATCAGCATCACCAGGAGAGTCGATCTAGCCATGTCCGTCTGTCCGTCCGTCTGTCCGTTTCTACGCAAACTAGTCCCTCAGTTTTAAAGCTATTTGCTTGAAACTTTCCCAAAAGTTGTCTTTCTATTGCAGGTAGTATATAAGTCGGAACGAGCCGGATCCGGCGACTATATCCTATAGCTGCCATATAACTGAACGATTGGAACTGCCATAACTTTGGTGTTTTTAAAGTTAGGAAGTTGGGATTTTTTATGAGTATTAAGAATGCATCATATGAATAATTTTGGAGAATATAATGTACAATATTCTGCAAGGGTATATCAACTTCGGCTCCGCCCGAAGTTAGCTTTCCTTTCTTGTTTATATAAGAAATCTCTTAATCAAGAATCTCGAATAGCGTTCTTTCTTTATTGAAATATGTTATTGTATAAATTGTAATTTACCATATGGATGCAAATACGATTTTCTCACAAAAGCAGAGAAAATGTATTATGGCTTTTTTATTCACCTTTTAAATTAACCGGGTTGATACCCTCCTCTGCTTTGCTATAAGATTTACTAAAGCCAGTTTTTTCTCCAAGGTGTAATTTAATAATTTAATGCAATTCAATGTTTTTCGAGTTTTTAAGTGAATATTATTGAAAATCAATTTTTATACCCTTGCAGAGGGTATTATAATTTTGGTCAGAAGTTTGTAACGCAGTGAAGGAGACGTTTCCGACCCCATAAAGTATATATATTCTTGATCAGGATCAATAGGGGAGTCGATATAGCCATGTCCGTCTGTCCGTCTGTCCGTCTGTTTCAATACCGTTTGCGAGCTCAGTTTAAAAGCTAGCGATCTGAAACTTTCACAATCGTCCTAAAACATGTGTACGCAGATCAAGTTTGAAAATCGCCCCGATCGGACGTCTATATCCTATAGCTCCCATAGGAACAATTGGATATATCTTGCAAGAATTTATGATATTTCGCGCAGTGTAAAAGCTATTGACATTAATCTTTACAAATCGTATTTTTTTATGCATACCTTGATCAGGGTAAAAGCGCGTGGCGATCGGACGTCTATATCCTATAGCTCCCATAGGAACAATAGGGTAAAATCGGTTAAAATTTAATGATTTTTAGGATATTTCGCGCAGTGTAAAATCTATTGACATAAATCTTTCCAAATCTTATTTTTTTATGCGTACCTTGATCAGGGTAAAAGCGCGTGACGATCGGACGTCTATATCCTATAGCTCCCATAGGAACAAATTTGATGTTTTTCAGAATATTTCGCGATGTGTAAAAGCTATTGCTGTACATTTTTTCAAATCGTATTTTTTTATGCATTCCTTCATCAAGGTAAAAGCGCGTGCTGATCGGACGTCTATATCCTATAGCTCCCATAGGAACAATACGGTGAAATCTGTCAAAATTTCATGTTTTTTAGAATATTTCGCGCAGTGTATAAGCTATTGACATACGTCTATATCCTATAGCTCCCATAAGAACAATAGGGTGAAATCGGTCCAAATTTGATGATTATCAGAATATTTCGCGCAGTGTGTAAGCTACTAACATAAAATTTTCCAATTCTTATTTATTTACGCATATCTTGATTAGGGTAAAAGCGCTTGCCGCTCGGAAGTCTATATCTTAAAGGAGATAGTAAAAATTGTTAAAGGCTGCGAAAGTATCCCTTTTGTATATGACATTTTTGCAGTATAAAAGCAATTGACTTGAAACGATGCAAATCTAGTTTACTTATGTATACCTTATTCCTTTCGCTACTTTTTCACTTTTAGCAATTTCGTCAAAGTCTGCAAGGGTATTAAAACTTCGGCTTGCCGAAGTTAGCTTCCGTCCTCGTTTTATTACAATTTATTTGTCATTTTTGAAAATTTGTTATATAACGCTGTTACCAAGTCACGAAAATTACTTTATGTTGACCAAAAGTACGCCGAAAAAACATAAATCGATTTATTCTCTGTTTAAATGTATTTTGTTCTATGCGGTTCAGGCGATAAGACGGACCTTAAATGTACAGAAAAGGTACAACTTAAGGGAAAAGAGCAATTATTTATTTATTTATTATATGATGAAAACGAAAACAAAAGTTTTTTAAATTAATCAATAGTTATTTTAGAAAGTAATGTTAACAAGAAAGGAAAGCTAACTTCGGGCGGAGCCGAAGTTGATATACCCTTGCAGAATATTCTGTAAATTATATTCTCCAAAACTATTCAGATGATGCGTTCTTAATACTCATAAAAAATCTTAACTTCCTAACTTTACAAACACCAAAGTTATGGCAGTTCCGATCAATCCTTTATATGGCGGCTATAGGATATAGGCGGCCGATCCTTATGAAAATTGGTTGGTCGGATTGATTGCCCAAAAACAAAACCCATAGAAAATCCCAACTTCCAAACTTTAAAAAAAGCAAATTTATGGCATTTCCGATCGTTCAGTTATATGGAAGCTATATGATATAGACGGCCGATCCGGCTAGTTTCGACTTATATACTACCTGCAATAGAAAGACAACTTTTGGGAAAGTAAACGGACGGACATGGCTAGATCGACTCTCCTGGTGATGCTGATCAAGAATATATATACTTTATAGGGTCGGAAATGTCTCCTTCACTGCGTTTTAAACTTTTGACTGAAATTATAATACCCTTTGCAAGGGTATAAAAATACCACGGTAAACATTTCAAATGATGTAAGGTGAAAATCGCACACATAACGTGATCGTAGTAAGACAAAAGGGAAAGCAATGTTTTTCTAAAAACCGTGATTTTCGGCTTGCACACAATAATAATACAACTAATTCTTTTTCAAATAACTTGCCCTTACCATTTTTCTAAAAGAAAGAAAGTCTTTAAAGAATAGGTAGTTTCATATGTATTTTCCACATTTAACCTTTATATTATTAAATGTTCTAATTTGTCCCGCTAAAGAGGGAAATATTTGAATAGGTCTGCAAACTAAACTTACCTTTATGCCAGACCGACCCTGTTGTTTTAATAGTACATTTTCTGGTTTCATATCACAATGAATAATGTCATTTTTATAAAGAGCATCCAAACATTGAAGCAGTGAGTGAGCAAACTTTCGTACCAACTGCAAACTGAAACCCTTGAATCCATTTTTCTTAATTAATTCGTAAAGATTAATGCTGAGGAGCTCAAATGTAATGCAAGTATGATTTCGAAATGTAAAGTAGTCGAACATATGTATTATGTTCATAGTATTGTATTTATCGTGGCGACGCAAATGATGAAGAATGCGAATTTCCTCTTGTGCCTGACGGTGAAACCGCTTTTCGTTCCGCACTATTTTTAAGGCAACATGCTCATGAGTCTTATGATCGTACGCTTTAATCACCTGTCCAAAGCTACCTTTTCCGATTATCTTAAGCATTTCATATCGATATGCCACGTGATCATGAGGTACATGAATATAAGCACCTTGCTCATTATCATAGTCAGAATTATTTGGGCCATAGACTCCTGGGCGCTTCTTAGCATTGGCACCAATAAAATAAATCTGCGGATAAGTGAGTATTTCTGTACGCTCATATGGAGTCAACTTATGCATGTATAAAATCATTACTTGTTGTGGTGAAACGACGAGTACCTTTGGTTTCTCCTGCAACTCACTTTTTTGTTGACCCGACATTATAATTTGCTCATGAAATGAGAATGTGTCGCTTTCCATTACTGGAGATTCTTTCAACAAAACGAGGGATTCACATTCGGGTACCGATTGTGATTTAGAATTCCCGGATATATTACCTAAATGTAACCGGGGAACATCCGTTTTTTTAGAAACTGACGTTACATTAGGCAAAGATATTGCTAAAATAAATAACATGTAATAAGATAATTGTAATTCATCTTTAGGGCTAATTAGTAGTTACCTTGAATGGGTCCCAAAATTTCACACGCATCGGAAGTGGGCAAATTGTTGACATCTCCAGTATAATTGGCATACTTATTTGAGGGCTGCTGTGGAAAATCGTCTTTACGATCATGAACCGTTGCTGATGATCCATAACTACTGCTGAAATACTGCAATCCACTGCCCCGACACGGGTGATGAGTTGAAATATGAGAATTAGTTTGAGTGATACCAGCTTGGGTAGAATTTTGGTTAATCATCTGAATTGCTTGCTGAGGTAGTGATTTTGGAGATAAAGGTGATTTTGCGATTTGTCTGTTTTCCAGAAAAGTTGTGTTCAAATTACTTTCACCTGTGAATGTGCAATCTTTGCTTAATCCGTGTGTTTCTGATAATTTTATATGATTATTTTTTTGCTGAGAACCAACCATAGTGGCACGACTATGCTTGTTTTTATAATTGATTCTTATAATTCAGTATATTTAATTTGGCTGCTTCAGACTAATTATACATATGTATTTTTAGGTCCTTGCATAAACTACCTTAAAGGTAATCTCTATACTTTGCCATTTTTCTTTATTTGATGTTGACATTACTCTTAGTGGAATCTTTTGATTTAATTTTGATTATTAGTCTTTAAATCTGGCCCAGAATTTTTATACAGGCACTTATGTATAATTAAGGAACCATTTGGACATTCAATATCGAATACAAACTTAATCAAAAATATTATGTTATTTAACAGTGATATTCGATTAATTTTAATAATTAATATTTTATCTTCACCAAACTATCGGCTTTACAGAGCAATGACAGAACTGAACCATCAATATAATTATTTTTTCTAAAGGCAAAGGCTTTTTTCCATAGTTTTAAATGCAAAGACGCTACCTCTCACATGTGGTCGTATTATGCTTTTCTTAATCTGTCTTATAAAAAGTGCAGTTCCTCAAAAAAAAAATTTCTGCATTCGTTGTTTTGATGAAAATGAATACCAGAATAAGTGGCCGGCGTCCATACATGTATTGTTGTTGTAACTTTTAATTTATGCTAAAATAAACAAGCATTTAATTAGTAGTTAAACATTTAAAAATATGGTATTTTGTATTTTTGAGTTAACAAAACAATTACTAAATTAAATTAGTTTCTTATTTGCAAAAATGAACATATATTATGTGTATATGGCATAAAGTTGCCATATGCTTATAATATTAATATTACCTCAACGCAGCCACATTTGGAATATTGTCAACTGTATTTTCACATATGAATGTACATATATACATCCACCAATTATAACCGCTAGGGACAAACTTTAAAAAGTTATGACCAAAAAATAGATAAGCATTGAGTATTGAACAACTGTAACACAATGGATTGTTTGCTTTTGTGATACAATTTAATCAATTTTAAACAATGTACATTGTACTATTACATTCGAATACACAATTTTTCAGAGCGAACAAAGAGAACAATAGTGTGACCGGATCTTAAATGTTATAATATACTACCCGGCTCACAAAATTTCTTTAAGATTTTCCATGTATATTTACAAGTGATTTACCATCTTTAAGCCTAGTATCCAGATCGACGAAAACTGTACGCCAGTCATGAGAGAGAGCGAGAGGCAAACAGCTGGCGTTCACTTTTCGTCGGGCCTTTTTTTCACGTCGGTCTCCTGATCGACGAAAAAATACCAGAAAATTCCATAGCGTTGCCAGTCTGCGGAAACGTGAACCCTAGCGAAAAGATTAAAAAATTTAATCTTTTGGCGTGCGCTTCTCACATTATAAGAAATGGAGGGAAAAACTCAAAAAACTCACAAAAGTCGATTGCAGGTGTTTACATGTGAGGACAAAATAACATTAATACTATCTGTGGTGCCTCTTGTCAGAGCAAAATGTTTTTTAGGTCCAGAATGTACGAAAAAACACAATAAAAGTGCAGCTATGAACTTTAAATTAGCAAATAATTATCAGTAAATAAAAAAAAACAACTGTTAAATTTAAATTGTATTGTTTTTTAATTTCTTTGTACAGCGGTAGACTTGTTTTGCCAAGGTAGTTGATAATATCATAATGTTTGGATTAAAAAATTTAATCTTTTGGCGTGCGCTTCTCACTGAAAGTGGAAATGGAGGGAAAAACTCAAAAAACTCACAAAAGTCGATTGCAGGTGTTTACTTGTGAGGACAAAATAACATTAATACCCAGACAGTACGACCGTAGCACGCTTAAATCTGATGAACTCTCAAAATGTTGGTCACACTCGAAAGATCAAAGTTTTTACGCTAGCGTAATCGTTTGTCGATCTGGATACTAGGCTATAGCATTTATCAAAATGAAAGAAGGGAAAAGAATTTTTAAAATAAGTTTAATAGGGTTAAACCTAGTTGAAAATGATTTGATTTTCTCACTTGTTCCAAAATAAATGATAAATCGCTAATAGTAGCTTGTGCAATCGAAAATCGATAATTAATCATAAGGGGTAGTAAAATTGCCGTTGATCTATTCTATTTATTCACAGTCGTTCGTTTACTGATTTATATACTTTGATAATAATTAAATATTTAAATAAACAAAAGATACATTATACCGTTTAATAATAAAATACTATAACGAAGTGGCTGATGATTATACCATTATGTTCTATTGTCATTAGCAGTGCATGACTGCCACCCTATTCGCTCGGTTTAGTAATCGTGTAAATACACATACATAAGTCAGTAAAGTGTACACTTTGTGGATAACGGTTTACTGAATACCAAATATATGTGAAGACGATTTGTTGACAAGACTGAAACAGTATAAATAAAATTTAAAGGTACATAAATTAAAAAATCAACCTCCAAGAAAATTGGCCGATTTTTCCACCCTTACAGGTAGGATAGAAACTAAAATAATTTTTTACTTGTGTATAGGGTTGTTGTGTCTAAAAATAAAATACTCAAATAAAGAATTTTAACTTAATAAAGTACTAACATAATATTATTTGAGTTATATTTGAGTAAAATTAGAGAATAGAAGATTTAAGGGTGGTTATGCCAGCTTCATAAAACATTGTTACCTTCTTTAGTTTGAGATATATTTTATTTACTAACTAGCTTTTATAAATTATTTCCTTAAAGCTAAATTTCATAAATTACTTGTAAAAACGAGAGGACTTAACTTTCTAAAAAGAGTACACAAATACGCGCTAAAATAAAAATGGCTTTTTAATTTTATTTTAAATATCAGGATAAACATTATTAAAAAGTGTTTCAAAAACAATTTAGATTTCTAAAAGTTATTCTTTTTTTTATCTAATAGCGATCGAGAAACCAAAATCTTTAAAGTATGATTGAATCAACATTAAAACTTCATGATTTTAATTATTACATTTTATAATACTTGCTTTGTTTTGTTATGTTATGCTATAACGACAAAGATATTTATCTATATAACTGAAGAAAAAGTATTATTTTGATTTTGGCTTGCTGCAAGCGAAAATTAATAGCAAATAATGGCGAACATTAAAAGCAATATAATAGAAAAATCATCATAATCACAAAAATCTCTTTCAAAACAATTTATACTTAAAATCACATTTCAGTGGCATAGAAAACAGTTAAATTTTTACTTAACGATTTAAAATAATCACAAAAACATTCTTTAAAAAATTTCTTATCAAAACAAAAACAAAATAACATAACTAGGGTATTCATTAAGGGTCTAAATCACAAAAATGTAACTTTGAGAAACCAGAGTTTTTAAACCAGTCTAATTTTGTATACCCTTTAAAATAATACCCCCTTCCTAACTTCAGTCTAAAGTTTGCAACGCAGTAAGGGAGACTTCTCCGACACTTCATTAAATACATTAGTATATATGTTCTTGATCACCATCACTAGGAAGGTTGATCAAGCCATATCCGTCTAAGCTTTAGCCCGCCTGTTCCTTCTTCTGTATTTCCATTTGGCTGAAACTTTCCAATGAAGCTATTTCGATTTTACGCTGCATATTGTTGTCCGATTTTGACAAAACTAAAAGCATAATTATGATAAAGTAAATAATTACTATGGCTCAAAGGAATATTTTGATAAATAGTCGATATAAGACAACTACCCTTGCAGAGGGTATTATAATTTCAGTCAAAAGTTTGCAACGCAATGAAGAAGTCATATATATATTCATTGTTTTTAGCAATATGGGCATAGAAATGTAGTTGTTTTTATTAAAAACAATTTTTTTTGATCTTGCTTTGCTTTTTATTTAATTTATCTTCTTCTTTCGGATACTAACAATAAGTGTAAAAAATCTTCTAGTAATCTAACAGTGATATGACGCGCTGGGAGCCATATGTCCAGATAGGCTTGAGAGTGAAGTTGTAGAGCAGGACCTTGTAGTCCAGACGCAGGGGCGATAGAGCGTTTGATATCCAGTGGAAACTGCTGGCTTTTAGTTTTAGAAGTAGTTTCATACATTCGATGTGTCTTTTCCAGGTTAGTCGTCTGTCTAGGTGCACGCCGACATACGTTACTTCGTTGACTTGGGAATTCGGCGTAATATTCAATGGTAGTGGAGGGCATGTTTGCCTGTTGGGAGTAAACGTAATGTGTTTACATTTTTGTTTATTTATTTTAATACTCCAATCAGATAGCCACATTATGTTGTGTTGCTCGGCGTGGGCACCTTGAGCGACTTGGGTTTGCAGTGTCGTCAGCAAACGTAGATGTTGTTAGCTGCTCGTTCGTAGGAATATCCCAATGTATATAGGACGAACAAAGTAGGTCCAAGTGCACTTCTTTGTTTTGATCTTATGCATGAGGCCATCGAGCCAGGTTCGATTGAAATCTTGATATACATCAAAGAATATTGCGCTGCAATATTCCCGATGCTCGAAGGCTGTGCGTATTCTGTTAACTTGATCGATTGTTTCATGGTTTTGACGGAAGCCAATTTGATTTGCCGGGATAACATTGTGTGCTTCCAGATATGGTATTTTGGGTGTTAGAAGACCATTTTCGAACAATTCAGACAGACACAATAATAAACTAATGACGGAATTGTGTGGTCTTTTCATTATGATAAAAGATTTTTCCTTTTTTTCGGATAGTAGCAGAGACGTATGATTAGGTCATAATTAGAAACCATTTTTGGGGTTATTAGGTCACTGACCGGAACCTCTTTATACCCTAGCAGAGGGTATTATAATTTTGGTCAAAAGTGTGCAACGCAGTGAAGGAGACATCTCCGACCCTATAAAGTATATATATTCTTAATCAGGATCACCTCTGAGTTGATATAAGCATGTCAGTCTGTCCGTCTGTTTCTACGCGAACTAGTCTCTCAGTTTTAAAGATATCGAATTGAAACTTCGCACACACCCTTCTTTCCTTTGCACGCAGTATATAAGTCGGAACCGACTAAAGTACCCTAAAGTATATATATTCTTGTTCAGAATCACTAGCCGAGTCGATCTAGCCATGTCCGTCTGTCCGTCTGTCCGTCTGTCTGTCCGTATGAACGCTGAGATCTCGAAAACTATAAAAGCTAGAAGATTGGCATTTTGCATGTAGATTTTAGGAGTTTTTACGCAGCGCAAGTTTGTTTCGAAATGGTGCCACGCCCCCTCTGACGCCCACAAGCCACAAGCTGTGGCCACAGTTTTGATGCTATTATGAAAATTGTAATTGATATGTATTTGTTTCGTCAATACCTATCGATTTGCCTAATAAAAGTTTGCTACGCCCACTCTAACGCCCAAAAACCTATTAAACGCTTAAGCCTGGCTAGCGCCTACATTTCCGCCTTTCATGGCCCGTGGTAGCGCCATCTAACGGATGACTTTGGAACAGCTGGCCAAGGTGCTCAACAGAGTCAACGTTAATTCTCGATAAGGATTTCTATTAAAGGAAATTGCGATGGTTTTCATTTGTCAATACCGAACTATATCCCAAGAACTATGCAAATCAAATCAAGTTAGCCAAATTGGAGGTCTGAGTAAAACAATGGTGCATGTGTGTATGTATGTAAGCATATTTATATGTATGTATTTACATTGTACACAGTTGCAATTGCCCGGCAAAGATAACTCCTTTCAAAGAAAGCTATTCGCTATACCCGTTACTCGTGTTGTGCAAACATTTAGACTTTAATATACATAATACTATTTAAGAATGTATGTGTTTATCCAATATAAGTATGTATGTTTAATATTTCTAGTGAATTTATTGCACTCAAAAACATAAACATAAACACAGCTGCTGGTGCAGGACAAAAGCTGCCAGTTGTGCTGATGCTCGTGCTTGAAAGCTGCCAATGCTAAGAGATCTCCGAATTAAAATTGATAATTTGAACTTTTTTAGCTGAGTAACGGGTATCTAATAGTCGAGGCACTCGACTATAGCGTTCTCTCTTGTTTTCAACTCATTTTAGACCACACAGCCCCTCTAGCTTGCCGTGTAATTTCCCTCGCAATTTCCACATTTCTTCTTTTGGCGATCTTTCATGTTGGCAGGGCAATTAGCGGAATTGTGAAAGTGTTCTTCCTCCTTAATTCTTCGGTGCAATAGGTATTTCAGGTTATAAATGGGATGCACTTAATTTTTCTTCAAGACTGTGCAGTCCGGCTCCAGCTCTACCTTGTGGAGTGGTTGCGGCTTTTTGATGCTGTTAATGATGTTTCTAAAGTTACTAACGAAAAGCAGGTTTCTTTAAGGGCATCGATAAGTTCATTGGGGTTACGTCTGGCTCGATTCCTTTTAGTACAACTTACAACCTGTTGCTGCTTTTTAGTTGGTACGTGTAGTAGTTTTTTTTTTAGCTTCCTCCAGGTATTCGGACACAGCTCGGAAATGTTCCTCGAATTTGGTCTGAAGTTTGGTTTCCTGAATATTCCCTTTAGTGATCGGAACAAAATGAAAATTTCTGTCCCCGACCAGCGCAACAATATTGTCGAGCTTTCCTCCCTAATGTAAATTGTTTGGGGCTTTGGTATCCGTTGGGTCTCTTGACCCAGTTCTGGTTGAATTTCAGCTAGTAGGACAAATTCAGCTAGTTTTGACAAATCTGTTGTTGTTGGACACGGTTAATTTTGTCTTATTGTTTGAGTATTGTTTTGGTTTTGTTTTGTTGTCATCTTTTTTGTTGACTTTGTGTTTGGAGCTGCAGTCGACGACATCATATAGTAAATAATTACTATATCTCGAAGGTATTTTTGATAAATAAAAAAATACAATTTTTATTATTTTTAAATTTTTTGATTTTTCTATAGGAGCTATATGGTATTCGGACGTTGATGCACTATGATCAGCGCAAACAAGTGGCCCTTACGACACCAAGCAGTGCTTGTTACGCGCGGAGCCTAATAGGCGTAAAAACGAGATCGCGAGAAGTTAAAAGCACAATGTAGAAGCGGACAGACTAAGATTACAAATACGTACGAGACTAATACTAATACTAATTTTGTGCTAAGTAAGATAAAATTAATGATTTTAGGCTTGGCAAAGAGTCGGTAGTAGAAATAATGTGGTATAGTCTATTATAGTCGTTACACACTACTCTAAACGGTTCATGCATATCAAAGTTAGATCTACAAATATTTAATGTAAGAGGAACATAGTTCCTGGTAATTCTATTAGGCACGGAGAAGCTTATGCGACCCAGTAACTCGGGACTCTCCACTTCCCCGTGAATAAGTTTATAGATAAAAGTTGTGCCAAGCATCGTTCTACGGTTTACTAAGGATGGTAGATTAATTAGGAGAAGTCTACTAGAGTAGGATGGTAAAATAAGGCTTGCATTCCAGTTAAGGCCCCGTAGAGCAAATAATAAAAAGTTCTTTTGCACAGACTCTATCCGGTCTATATGTACACCATACTGAGGACTCCAAACTGCAGAACAGTACTCCAGGATTGGACGGACTAGTGAAATGAAGAGAGTCTTTGTAACATAGGGATCATCGAATTTCCTTTTAATAAATCCAAGTACTCCCCTGGCCTTATTCACCATAGAAGTAATATGGTCACAAAACTTAAGTTTAGGGTCAAGGAGGACGCCAAGGTCATCAACATGCGTAATTTTAGACAACGCGCAACCACCCAGCGTATACGTTGCATATTGTGGGTTCACCCGAAAAAATGTCATTACTTTGCACTTAGCGCTATTTAAATCCAAAAGATTTTCACAACACCATGTTTGAAAAGCGTTTAGGTCAGATTGTAAGTCTGAACTGCTAGAAATTTCGTTATATTGCAGGCATAACTTAACGTCATCTGCGTACATAAGGACACTCGACTTTGTCAAGACTAGAGGGAGATCGTTTATAAATAAAGTAAAAAGAAGTGGGCCAAGGTGGCTTCCTTGTGGGACGCCTGAAGTAACTCGGATCAAATCAGAGATCGAGTTTTTAAAGAGGACTCGTTGAGTCCTACCACTCAGATAACTTGAGATCCATGTTAGAAGATCACATGGAAACCCTAATAAGTCTAGCTTTAATACAAGTAGCGAGTGATTTACTGAATCAAACGCTTTACTAAAGTCAGTGTAAACTACGTCAGTCTGCATGTTCTTTCTAAAGCCATTTATTACAAAAGACGTTAGCTCCAAGAGGTTTGTCGTCGTAGATCTTCGCCTTATAAATCCATGTTGACATGGAGATATAATCGATCTACAAAGATGTTGCAAATGGGGTGTAATAGTGTTTTCGAAAAGCTTTGGGATGGCGGATAATTTGTATATGCCTCTGTAATTACTTGTATTGCATTTATTTTCTTTCTTATGAGGGGAATGACAAATGACTCCTTCCAAATAAGTGGGAAATGAGATGTTTTTAAAGACAAGGTAAACAATTTGTACAGAGGTCTACACAGAGTTTCAGCACAGTACCTCAGCACGCAGCCTGGAACTCCGTCCGGACCCGGTGAATAGACAGGCTTAACTTTATGAAGATCCAAAAGAAGGGAGCTTTCGCTTAACCTCGGACAAAAAATCAAGTTCGACTTGGGTATGGCATTTGAATAAGACGGATTTGGACGGGATGAAACAGAATATGTTGTCTGGAAAAACTGGGCAAATAGATCGGCAATTGCCTGATCAGAATTTGCCGTAGAGTTTTCGAATGATAGTGATGCAGGGTAACAGGCTGATTTACGCTTAGTGTTAACAAAATTATAAAACTGTTTTGGATCTTGTGAAAATTGGACCCTACAACGAGTCAAATAGCTTTTATAACACCGGGCGTTAAGCACGATAAAATTTGACCGAGCCCTTAGGTACCGAGAGAAGGCAGATTGTGAACCGCACATTTTAAATTTATTGAAAAGTCTGGACTTAATATTTTTTAGGTGTGACAACTCTTTATTAAACCATGGAGGTTTATTTGAAATTGACGGATAGTATAACGGAACACACAGATAAAAGAAGGAATTCAATGCATTATAAAAGATATTAACGGCCTTAGCCACGTTAGTGCATGAATAAAATTCGGACCAGTCATAGCCGGATATAAAAGTATTTAAAAGATGAAAGTTTGCCTTACGAAAGCAGCGGATTCGTTTAACCGACTTTTCGGATTTTTTATTCAGCTCTGTTCTTGCGTCTACAGTCAGCTCTAGAGTTGGATGATAAGGATCTTCCGGTTGTGTAAGTGGTGACGTTCTTGATAGGCAAACGCCTTCTGAATTTGAAACAAAACACAAGTCCAGTAAACGTCCTAAGGAGTTCTTAACATGGTTCACTCCGGCGCCTCGGACAAGGTAAGCAGTACGTAAGAAATAAACTCTTTGGTCAAGAGTATGCGCTCGACCATTTGAAACGCGCTGTTCCAGCGTGTACAAACCTCCTGTTTAAGGCTGTATGGCTTGCCGAGACCTTGAGCTAGTTTGAATTTCTCATAGGCAATTGTGCTGCTTTTAAAAAAGGTCACTATTCGCATGCATTTTGTTAACACAGTCTGAATCTCTTTTATAGCAAGGCAGTCTTGTATAACCAGGTTAAGTACATAAGCATAGCACGGAAGATGTCTTTTCTCAAGAAGTTGATATGCTTTCACCATGTTGCTGGCATTATCCGTAACTATTGCGCAAACTTTTGGCAACAGACTCCATTTCATCAGTTCTGCGCGCAATGATGATGCGATATTGTCAGCAGAATGATTTGTTGCACATAGGAGTGGCTGTGTTGCCAATACTGCCGAATTTATCTTGAAGTTCCCGTCAATGAAGTGAACTGTTATGGTCAAATAACCAGTATTGGCTTTGCTAGTCCAGCAGTCCGTTGTAATCGCACACTGATCGACTGTAGTTTTTCACTGAGGGTATGTACATGTTTTTCATTTTCACGTCCTGAAGCGTTGTGCGTGACGGCAATGTGTAGCGGGGATCTAATAGCTTGACAAACTTCCTAAACCCTTCGTCCTCCACAATAGAAAAAGGTTGTATGTCCTTAGCAATCATTCCCATCAACGCCATATCAAGACTCGCTTTTCGGACCGAATTGCTGTCGTACTCATCGTGATTAAAAAATTTCTTTACTGTCGGTTGCGTTGCCTTGTACTGGCTGTGAGTTGGGTGGAATCTCTTTAAATGATCGGCAAGGTTGCTGGTGTTTCCGCTGGTTTTGTAAATCGTTTTACAAATGCGGCATTTCGCTTCCCTACCATCTTTTGTTTTTTCAAAGAGATCCCACACCGAACTTGCCAATCGGCTCAACTTTTTCAAAGATTTCTCTTGCGCCTTGCCCACTACTTCAATATCTATCGATGCTGTCTGCTCCACATCCTTGTCTCCATCTATTGTGTAAAAAAAATATATGAGAATTTAATTTCTTAATATCTTTTCCATCCACTTACTTTTTCCCTCGCCATCCATTTTTAAGGAATCACCGGAATACCGAAACCACCAAAATTTGAATATTTCTGTCGAAAACAAAAGAAATAAATATTTAATTTTTCGTATCCAAAACGTGCTTACCTTCTTAATTCTTCGAAATCCAAGTGATGCAAATTTTTTGTAATACTATCGTGATAGTCTGAAAAATATCGAAGACGGTCACCGGCGGCCAGTCATCGATATTATCGATAGTACCATCGATTTTTTTGCAGCTCTACGCTATAGTGCACAGTGGTCCGTGGTCAGTGATAATGGCTTTCTGTTCATTGAAAAATTGAAAGAAAGTTATCTCGGCTGGGCAGTAAAGTATTCCCTGCCATACATGTGATAAAATGTATCACGCAAAGTCTTGGCTATACTGTCCTGGTTTGCGATGCCATCGATAAGAGGAATGGCCTTCCCTACTATTGCGATGAATGCATCGTATATGAGAGTCATGCAATATCTATTAGGCGGCTCACAAAAAGCAGTGTTACGGAATTAATCCGGAACTGCCGTAAAAATACGGACCTGCTCGTGGCGCTTGGATCGCAGCTCACTAGTCGCATGCCAGCTGAGCCCGATTCCCCAAAGCGCAAAAAAGTCGCTGTCGGCACTATGGCCGGTGCCGTGCAACCTGCTGCCCGCGATTCGATTCCAGCTCAGCTGCCAATCTTAGGCGCCACTCAAATGGTATTAAGATCGGGGGCAAAAAGTGATTCGGTACCCGAAGTTGCTGGAACCGATGTGGATCAAAATAAAGTAGTTGCCCAAACACCTCATGTGGACTTAACAACCGGATTACCGGCCGATAATGGTAGTACAGATAAAAACTCTGTAGTACCAAAAAGCGTTGCATGTGTTGTACCAAAAACGGTTTCTTGTGTTCGGGTGCCCCAGCTAAAACATGTATTTGTTTCACGGCTCGCCCCAGACCTCTCATCAATGGATTTTACGGCTGATATCCGTAACAAAATCCAAATTGATGATTTGAAGGTCGAACAATTTAAATTGTCTCATGCTAGGAAAGTATAATCATTTAAGATTGGTATTCCTTTTGCTCTTTTTGCATCTGTGTGCTTCGCCAGTTTCTGGCCCGAGGGCATATTTGTAAAAGAATACGAAGCTAAGAGAAAAAAGAATAGTTCAGGAGAAAAAACTAGCCTGCTCTTTTCTTCTTTCCTATCAGAATACTAGAGGCCTACTTAGTAAGCTGACTAAATTGTACCCGGATAGTTTTTCATTCCCATATAATATTATGGTATGTACAGAGACCTGGTTAAGGCCGGAAATTCGTAGCGTTGAAATTCTCCCGGATAATTTACAGGCTTGATCGTCAGTCCAGACGTGGAGGTGGAGTCCTGATTGCTGTCGACTAAACCTTTTCGTCTGAATTACAAACTTTCGAATAATTTTATGACATCGAATTCCTAGGTATAAAATTATCGTTCCCCGGTAGTTTTGTATATATTACTTAGTTATTCCGTCCATTTCAAAAAAACTGTCAGATACGAGGGCAGTCCGATAAGTACTTAGCCTCACCGCCCGATGGCGTCACTATCGCAAGAGAAATTTACTATCGTGCAGTACATTCTCGTAGATGGCTGCTGTCGAAATTTCAGCCGAATCGGACTCGTAGTTTTGTCTTGACTGCGTGTGGAATCGGACGTGTCCGCGAATTTTAGAAAAATGGAGAAAGAGCAATATCGGTCTGTGATTCCCATTCTTGTATTTGGTAGGGAAATCGCACAGCGAAATCAAAGAAATCAAACGGTTACTCTTTTCCTTCGATGGCGACCGTCAAAAATTGGTTTAACGAGTTTCAACGGTTTTTGATGAGCCACGCCCAGGTGCCCCGAAAACGACTACCACGGAGGATAACGTGACAAAAATTCTCGATCTCGTATTGGCAGACCGCCGATTGAAGATAGCTGAGACAGTAGGCATGTCAAAAGACCGAGTGGGTCATATCCTGCATGAAATTTTGGGCATGAGAAAGAGGTCGGCGCGATGGGTGCCGCGTTTGCTCACTCCGGACAACAAACGCAACCGTGAGACCTCTTCAGAGCAGTATTTGACGCTGTTTATGCGCAATCTGAAGGAGTTTCTGCGTCGTTTCGTTCCCGTCGACGAAACATGGATCCATTGGTATACACCAGAGACCGAGGAACAGTCGAAACAGTGGACTTCACCCGGCGAACCTGCTCCGAAGAAGGCGAAGACTGTCCCATCGGCCGGAAAGGGGATGGCCACCGTTTTTTGCAGAATTGCAGAAAATTCGGCCCCATTTGGCGAAGAAAAATGTGCTCTTCCATCATGACAATGCACCGTCTCACACTTCCGCCCTCGCCAAGGTCAAATTGGTCGAATTGGGCTACGAACTGCTACCCCATCCACCATATTCTCCAGATTTAGCCCCGTGTGACTTCTTTTTATTTTCAAACTTGAAAAAGTCACTCGCTGGACAGAAATTTGCGTCGAATGAGGAGGTCGTCGCCGCCACAGAGGCCTATTTTGCAGACCTTGAGAAAACGTATTTTTCAGACGGGTTAAAGAAGTTGGAGCATCGCTGGGTCAAGTGTATCGAGCTAAAAGTAGATTATGTTGAGAAATAAATCGCCACTTTTCCAAAATTTTCATTTTTCTTTTGGAGGCTAAGTACGTATCGGACCACCCTCGTACCTAGTGTGACATTGTCCCCAGACGAAAACTCTAATATTTTACTTCCTTTAGTGCAGCATGACTTTATTGACTACTTGCTTGACATCGCGCTATCCCAAGTGAACCATGTTAAAAAACTCCTTAGGAAGTTTACTGGACTTGTGTTTTGTGTTAAATTCAGAAGGCGTTTGTCTATTAAAAAATCACCACTTACACAACGGGAAGATCCTTACCATCCAACTTTAGAGCTGAATTTATGCCATATCCAAGTCAAACTTAATTGTTGTCCGAGGTCAAGCGAAAGCTTCCGTCTCTTGGATTTCCACAAAGTTAAACCAGTCTATTCACCGGGTCTGGACTGAGTTCCAGGCTGCGTGCTTAAATACTGTGCTGAAACTCTGTGTTGACCTCTGCACAAATTGTTTACCTTGTCTTTAAAAACTTCTCCCACTTATTTGGAAGGAGTCATTTGTTATTCTCCTTCATAAGAAAGTAAATAAATCAAATACAAGCAATTACAGAGGCATATCCAAATTATCCGCCATCCCAAAGCTTTTCTAAAACGTTATTACACTTCACTTGCAAAATCTTTGTAGATCAATTATATCTGCATGTCAACATGGATTTATAAGGCGAAGATCTACGACGACAACTTTCTTGGAGCTATCATCTTTTGTAATAAATGGCTTCAGAAAGAACATGCCGACTGACGTAGTTTACACTGATTTCAGTAAAGCGTTTGATTCAGTAAACCACTCGCTTCTTGTATTAAAGCTAGGGTTATTAGGGTTTCCATGTGATCTTCTAACATGGATCTTAAGTTATCTAAGTGGTAGGACTCAACGAGTCCTCTTTAAAAACTTTATCTCTAATTTGATCAAAGTAACTTCAGGCGTCCGACAAGGAAGCCACCTTGGCGCACTTCCTTTTACTTTATTTATAAACGATCTCCCTCTAGTCTTGACAAAGTCGCGTGCCCTTATGTACGCACATGACGTTAAGTTATGCCTGCAATATAACGAAATTTCCAGCAGTTCAGACTTACAATCGGACCTAAATGCTTTTCAAACATGGGGTTTGAAAATTTTTTTGAATTTAAATAGCGCTCAACTTATTCACGGGGATGTGGATAGTCCCGAGTTACTGGGTCGCATAAACTTCACCGTGCCTAATAGAATTACCAGGAACTATGTTTCTCATACTTTAAATATTTGTAGATCTAATTATGATATGCATGAACCGTTTAGAGTGCTGTGTAACGACTATAATAGACTATACCATGTTATTTCTACTACCGACTCTTTGTCAAGCTTAAAATCATTAATTTTATCTTACTTAGCACAAAATTAGTATTAGTCTGGTACGTAATTCTAATCTAAGTCTGTCCGCTTTTATATTGTCCTTTTTCACTTCTCGCGATCTCGTTTTTACGCCCATTGGGGAATAGGGCTCCGCGCGTAACAAGCACTGCTTGGTGTCATTTGCGCTGATCATAGTACATCAACGTCCGATTAAAAATATTACAAATCACGTATTCTTAACTGTAAATTGAATTTCAATTTCAAAGATATATCCGATTGTTCCTATGGGAGCTATAGGATATAGACGTCCGATCGAGCTGAGCTTGCAAACGGCATTGAAACAGACGAACAGACAGACAGACGGACATGGCTATATCGACTCCCCTATTGATCCTGATCAAGAATATATATACTTTATGGGGTCGGAAACATCTCCTTCACTGCGTTATAAACTTCTGACCAAAATTATAATACCCTCTGCAAGGGTATAAAAACAGCAAAAAAATATAACTTTTAAAATCTTAACTTTTTTTATGTAAAAAAGGGGAATCTGCTGAATTAATGGATTTGTCATATTTTGACATTAAAATCGTAGAGCTGGTAAGCAAATAAACGTAAGCCTGTAACAGTATGCAAAACTAACCAATAAAACTAAGATCGGCCTGCCAGTGGATCCGGCCATTAAAAATTCACTGGGACACCCACCGTAGGATGGGTGGGTGGTAGAGATAGGCAATGTTGTATGTGAGACATCGATTTCTATCGATTTAGAATTGGGAACTTTTGGGACATTGAGAAACACAGCAATGGAGGACAATTGGTCTTGGTTACAGATCGCAGATCAATTGCTACCTGATTTCTTATTTCGGTTGGATACTTAAATATGTGGTCGTGACCCGTGAGGATAATAACACGATCAGGAACACGATCTTCTCAGACGACCAGTTAGGTGGGATGCGAACCGTGTCTTGCAAAGTCCACAAATCCAGAGACCGTAGTCGGAATGTAGGCTGGAGAAGATCGGTCGATTATAAGACGCGTTAACATAAGTTAGTGTATTTTAGGTGGACTTCTTGAAGGTATTTGGATTGGCTGCAACGGTGGTAGACCATTTTAATCCCGAAAGCGTGAAGAACGCCGAAAAATTCCATGCTAGGGAGATAGAACACTACGCTGAGGACAAGAAGGACCCGTATCCATGAGCTATAAAAAATCGAACAGAAAAATCAAGAGGGATGGCT